AGAAAAACATGTTGCTACAACTTAATTTAAGTAATTTTAAAGAAAACTTACAAATGCTAGAAAAATAGGGTTTAAGAGGAGTCAAAATCACCTTGCAATTATTCACACTTACATTTGTAGTCCTTTCCCAAATAAAACAATATGTGGTAACTCTTATTTTGTCACTTTCATTGACGATTTTCATGGTTTGGATATGTTTATCTGATATCATACTTTAGTTTTGGAATGTTTTAAAATCTTTCAATTGGAAGTAAAAAAACAACGTGATAAATATATACAAATTGTAGATTAGATAGGGGTGATAAGTACTTGGCAGGTACATAGAAGTCAGAAAACAAAAGGGACCATTTGCAATTTATCTTGAACAAAATGGAATAATTTCTCAATAACAACCCCAGAAACTCAACACCAATTTGAAGTTGCAGAGAGAATAAATAGGACTTTGAAAGACATGATTCGATCCGTGTTTGCACATTCACCATTATTTATTTTCTTATAGGTGAAGTTTTGAAAATAGTCAACTCTATCATCAATAAAGTGCCAAGTAAGTCAGTGCAAGTTATTCCTTTTGAAGCATAGATTGGTAAAAAAACCTAGTTTCTACCATTTTCATGAGTGAGGATGTAAAGTTGAAGCTAGGTTTTACAATTCAAATGAAAGAAACTGGATCCAAGCACAAGAAGTTGCAGATTCATAGGCTATTGAGAGAAGTCTAAGGTATTTAAACTCTATTTTCCTCACTCTCATTCAAGAATAAGACACATAATGAAAAATTCATTAAGGAGTTGAAAGAAATCTCGACAATCTCATTCATTCTAGTATTTGAAGAAGTCGGTGATAATGACAAATTACTTGCTCCACAAGAAATCACTAGTAGATTGCCAATAATTCTACGGTCATTTGCTGAACTTGATTCTCAAATGGAGGATGTAGAAAATGTGGTATTACTTGTTGATGTCATCCATACAAATGAAGCAGCTCCCATTAATCTTCCAATTGAGACAAATGAGGCAGATGGTATGAATCCAGACAACAACATTGAAGTGACCAACAAATATGAGAAAATCACAAAGAACGCATAAATCTGTAATTTCTTTAGAATACTTGTGTTATTTGCAAAAAAACTGAATACAATATTGGCGATGAATATGATTATGCAACTTACACTCAAGCTGTCAATAGTACTCATTCAGATTTATGGCATAAAGTAATTCCATGAAGAAAAATGGAGTTTGGACTCTTGTATCTAATACGTCAGCTACTGCAAAACCCATTGGTTGCCGGTGAATTTTTAAAACTAAAGGGGACTCATAAGGCAACATAGAGAAACGCAAAGCTAGACTTATGGCCATGAGCTTTACATAGCGGGAAGGAATCAATTACAATGAAACATTTTCACTTGTCTCCACTAAACATTCCACGAGGAATATAGTGGCTCATACTGTTCAGTTCAATTTGGAACTTCATCAAATGGATGTAAAACGGCTTTCTTCAATAGACAATTAGAAGAAGAGATATTCATGCAACAACCACCAAAATTTGTTTAAAGGGAGGAGTCTATGGTCTGCAAATTTAACAAGTCTATCTATGGACTATAACAAGCATCTAGGCAATGAATTAAGAAGTTTGATCAAATAATGGCATGCTTCTGATTTTGAAGAAAATAAAGTGGATGAGTACATTTATCTCAAGGCCATTGGGTCCAAATTAATAATTTTAGTTTAATGTGTTGATGATATCTTACTAGCTAGTTCAGACATGAGCTTATTACAGTCATCAAAGAGAATGTTGACTAGTGGTTATGGTTTTGATATGAAATACTTAGAGGAAGCTCATTATGTTTTTGGGACTGAGATTAAAAGAGATCGATCCAAGATAAGTTCTTGGTCTGTCTCAAAAGAGCCACATTAACAGAATCACTAAAGGTTCAACATGCAAAATTGTTCAAGCGGAGAATTACAGGTTGGCAAAGGAGACAAGATGAGCAATGAACAAAGCCTCAAGAATGAACTTGAGAAAGAAAATATGAAGGACAAACCTTATGCATCATTAGTAGGCAACCTAATGTATGCTCATATATGTACAGGACCAGACATAGCCATTTCAATGAGTGCTAGGAAGGTTTCAAGCAAATCTTGGTACAACACATTGGGTTGCAGCTAAAAATGTCTTGAGTTATGTTAAGAGAACCATGGACTTCATGTTAACTTACAGTTGTGTAAATGATTGAAAATCAATCAATGGTTATATTTTTCTGCTAGATGGAGGAACAGTTTCATGAAAAAGTGCGAAACAGAATTTACATTGCTTATTCGATAATGAAAGTTGAGTTATTGGCTGTTGTGCAACAACTAAACAGGTCACTTGGATCAAAAACTTAGTGAAGTGTTTGAGAGTGGGTGACAATATTGAAAAACATTTGAAGATAAATTGTGATGATAAAGCATTAGTATTCTTTTCAAGAAACAATAAAGTCTTTGGCAAGTCAACTAATGGACATATAGTGTTTGAACGAATTAAGAGGGAATTTTTGACATTCAACATATTGGCACAATCTCATGATAGCGGATCCCTTGAGAAAAGCTTTAATAGTGAGAGTGTTAAAAAAACATGTCTTCCGTATGGGACTCGGAGAAACTTTTGATTCAATTAATGAGTAGGAGTGAACACTCAGTTGTTTAAACCATCTCTCTGTTAATTTGTGACTTTTTTAGTTGATGAGTCGAATTTATACTATATATTATTCCCTATTCTTGGTATATTTTGGTTATTATTTTGGTGAGATTTTGATGTTTTGCTATGTGTTTTTAATGTAGGACATGCGAACTTGTTTTGAGCATAAAGTAATCAAATGGTGGAATTTTTAAGTGATTCCAATTGGAGCGGGTTCGTGAGTCTGTCAAGAATATTGTGTCAAAATTCCATAATTTTATACCGAAGCATTTGATCATGATGAATTAATTTATGCCCAGCGCAATGCTAACAGATTAGGCTACATAGCTTATTTGCGACTTTTGGGCTTGAAGATGATGGATTTTGGAATTGGGCTATTCTTGGAACTTAAGTTGGTTTGGGCCTGTTTTGGAGCCCTGAAGTCCAGAAACGTGGTTATTTCAATGTTGGGCAGATTTCCTAGTCATAATAGGAATGTAATTCCTAGTTATCCTTTTATTATTTTATTTCCTAGTTTTTAGAAAACCTATTTCTAGGAGGGTTTTAATTTGGAGTAGTATAAATAAGGCTTTTTAGCCACTGGGGAACGAACGCGACATTGAGAGAATTTAGCAAAGCTTTGGAGAATTTCAGACCTTTCACCTACAAGGTGTTTTCATTCTTTTTCTACTTAATGATATTTTCTTTGATTTTTATTATGAATATGCGTAACTAATCCGTTTTGCTAGGGCGAAGCCTTGAGCCTTAGCATGAACGTGTAACTTTTATTTAATTGCTTGTGATTGATTGCATGCATACTTTGAATTATTGATCACTGTTTTAAACTATCTAATTGTCTTAATGCCTGATCACCATTAGGATCTTTAGAAAAGTAATTTGATGCAATTTTGGTCGGAAGGTTCCCTGAAATTGATATTTGCTTCTTGTGATTAATAATTGTAATTTCACTTAAGATGGTTGCATGGTTTTTCAAAGGGTTTTCATAAAGCATAATGAATCTCTCATGTTTAGATTTGATCCGAACGTCCGGATGGATTGCATGTTAGATATACGTTCTATGTTGAAGGTTCCAAGTAGGATCTATACTAGGAAAACCTAACCTTCAAAGTGGCATGTGTAGATCATAAGTAATTGGTAAAAATGCATAGGATTGCTAGGTGATGGTGGAATCCTAGTGCTTTTATAAATTGGTATTTAAAACTCTTTTCTTTTATCATAATTATTTTTAATTAAAATTTGTTTTTAAGGTTATTCAATTCCAAAGTCTCTTTTCTCACTTTTTAATTCTAAATAGTTAATTAGTAATTGTTTTTACATAAATTATTAAAATAGTCCTTGTGGAGAACAACCTTGAATGAGCATCTATACTATAACATCCTTATATTCTTGCAAGTATTTCATGTGATTTTGATCCTATTTGCATAGACGGTAAAAATTAAATCATTAGTTATTTTCAGATTTCGTTTGTTCAATAAGCTTAGTTATTCTCATAAAATTATTTGAGTTTGATTTTGACAGAATTCTCACGTTAAAGAGATTGACATACAACATCAGCTGTATAGTCAGAACATCATAACTTGTCAACAAGAAGGTACTTGTATTAGATGTGCATGTAATCATGGAGTGCAAATACAGTAATGTACACATATATATTATATATATGCATTTAGTTTTCCATGGTTCAGCATTTTACTCAAAGTGACAGGTTGTTAAGAGGAACAATTGCATATTATGAAGGCTCAATCATCACCATGGTTCTTATTATATCAGGGTAATCTTTATTGACATTCAAGGGGAAAAATGTAAAACTCATTATGAACGTCAGTAGACCACCGTCCAACTGACTTACTTGATACTTAAGAGATCCTGGAGCCCTAATTGAGGAGGAATCATGGGGTTAGAATCTCATTTAGTAAGACATATATTCTTTGTTATGGTGGGATACCATTGTGATTTGGTTAGTATCCCTTACCTAAACCATGTATAAAGGTTTTCTTTGCTCTCGCAAATACACGTTCTCAATACAAGCTTTAAGCCTATCCTATAAGTGAGAGCATTCTAGTTTTGCTGAGAGTAGAAGACGCCCTTGTAGCACTAACAGCGCCATGTCGTCTTCAACTGCAGGTAAAGTTTCTTCAGACTCTCTATTCCAATATGCATGTATACATATCTCCATATATATGTATGTTCATATGTGTTTGTCTATATGTTGTAATTTTTTTACCATGTTGATGCTAATAAAAACCTCAGAAGCATAAGATGATTTGTCAACTGGCCAGCCGCCATTTCCATGTTCAAATGACATTAAAAATCAATGTAAGAGACAATGAAAATAAGCCTTTGGCTTTATAAAATTATTTCGACCAAAAAGAGACACTGAAAACAGGTTCTCTGACCCCTTGCTTTTCCACTTCTTTACTACTTTATACAATTACAATCTCTTTTTATACAACTATTCTAGCCCAAAACTTCAGAAGCAACAGTTCTAGCCCAAAACTTCAGATGTTTCTTCATGTCAGCAGCTGCGGAGACTCTCGGCAACCGCAGGTTTAGCAAGGGCGAATCTGGCCGTTTTATAAGCCACGCTTCTGATAAGTAAGGCCTCATCACTTCACCCCCTTTTTCATCATCTTTATCTTCATTAGGTGCTACTTCAATTTCAGCAGAATCATCATTTTTATTCCGTAACTTTTTACTATTAGACACACCAAGTCTCTGCAAGCCAGGTACTAAACTCATCATTCTTGGACTCAAGTGTTCTTTCTTAAACGTGAACCCTAAGTCCATGAACCCCTTAACTTCTTCGAGCTCTAGTTCCCCCAAGCTCCGGCAGCTCATCGATTTCTGAAGCTTTTGCGCCGCTGTGGCAGCCGTTGCATAACCTGGTGATGATCTGGATGATGAGCATGTTCTGTTTTTCCGGGGACGTTTTTGGTGATCAGATGACTGAGACCGAATTAACATTCTGTTGGCCAACATATTTAATCTTGTTGGTCTAGTTTTCTTCTTCTGCACGTTGATGAATTCGTTCGAGTTCATGTCATCCTCCTCTTCATTATTGGAATCATCCTAGTCATTGTTGCAGCATACGAAACATCAGCTAGGCCAAGTGTGTGTAACAAAATCATTACCGGTATTTTTCTTGGAATTAAAGAACTGGAATTGCTCCATCGAATTTTAATTTTAGTCAATTTGTTTTCAATTTGACCAATTCGAAAAACAGACGAAATTAAAATATGGTTAAAATATATACAAGGACAAAAACTGTATTCAATCCTTTGTTTAATACCTGTGGAGTGGTCATTTGTGGTGAATCTGATGAGTTGTCTTCATATAAAAGTGGTGAGAAATCGAATTCTTCATCTGCATGAGGCAAGAAGGAGATGGTGGATGATGGGTAAGTAAAAGAATCTGTGACAATGGAGTCCTGAGATGTTTGATCTTCAATGGTACTACCCTTGGGACTAAATAATGAAATTGGCTCAGAGAAAAGAATGGTTTGGTGAAACCACAGACGATCTATGGCTCCTATAAGACATAAGAAACTGTAGTTATTGGCCATGGCGATGAACAAAAACAAGAAATCTAGAGAGAGAGAGAGAGAGAGAGAGAGAGGGAGGGAGGGAGGGAGGGAGGTGTTGGCAAGAGAAATCTAGAGGTATATAAAGTGGATTTTTGTGGTTGTGATTTGTAGCGAAAGAACAAAAACAAGTGAAAGCAAATGAGTTAGAAGAAGTGGTGGAACCTCTAATAGTCGAAGATGTGGTCAGAAATATTGGGCTCTCTTGACTCCACATATCTTAAAGAGGCAAAATGGCAAATGTGCAGAAATTTGCTAGTGAGATAGTATGTCATGATGGTCAGGATATGCTTTGGAATAATTATTATACACAATATTTTGGTGGCCATATCCATTGTTTTCGGACTCTAATGTTTATCCCTGACTAGACTACAAATGGACGTCCACGAGTCTTGGATTAGCACTGGCTTAAAAAGCTTAAATCATTAGAAAATGAGTCATAACTTTATACACTACTTTACATGCAATTTCATCTTGCACGTCGAGAGGCGGATAGGTGCTAAAAAACAGACAAATAATAGGTGCTAAAAAAACAGACAAATAATAGGTGCAACCTCACCATGGACCGAAATCAAGACTACTTGGAAAGAAGACTCATGAGGTTATATTTATTAGATTATCACTATAGTGTAGACTTGTTAGGTTGAAACCTTGGATTCATTAGTGCATTCCAAATGAATTGGCATCAAGTCTTCTAAATAATAATTCAGTTTCTAAACTATTTTGTATAGAGATATAGTGTAAAGTCAGACCAAATTTGAACCAAACGTGGTAATGGTTTCTCAATTTACAACAAATAGGATAATAGAAGTCTTTTCCTATACTATATATACTGATATTATAGCTTTCTGATTCTATTCAAGTCCCATTATCTCCATTTCTTCCATAAACCCTTGAGCTTCCATCTAGTTCTACTATCTCGTCTTGTACATTCCCTCTGTTAGACAACTGGACACTGCTTTCAGCTGGTTCATCTGGTTTGGAAACCTTTCTTATATAAGAAGGCATTTCTGAAAAGCTATTCCTCACAGAGCTCCAATCTGCGGAGAATGATGTTCGTGCTGATTGCAGAAGTTGATGTTGCTTTCTCCTTCTATTCCTCACTTCAGCATGCCATTGCTTTAAAATGTCTGCCATGTTATGTTCCATTATCTTACCCCTGAATTGTGAACCCATCTGTGTATATATATATAAACAAAATTACTTCAGATATGAAAAATTAGGTTTTTTTGATCAGGATATAGCTATAAGAACAACACTTCAGATCAATGTACTTCACCTGTGTGACAAGTGCATAGAGAGGAAGAGTGATGTAGCTGCAGAGGACTTGAGTAGTCACCCTAAAAATCAAAGGAATTAATATGCAATCAACTAATAACAATTTCAAGTAAATAGAATAATTTTGAACTCTGATCATAATTAAAAAAATCTAGGTAGTCTTACGCTAAGGAAATTCTCGTAACAATGCTCACTGTGAGCTCGTGGTAGCAAGATTTGAAGCCGAATTGGATCTAATAGCAAGGAGAGAATTAAAACCACAAGTATATTGTTTGTCATACGTTGTTTAAAATTTCTTTGTTTTTTTTAGAGCGAATAGCTAATCTCATCTAATCCTTTTCTATTTATATAAAAATACATGTGGGAAAGAGCACTCACCGTAACCCAAATGAAGAAAGCGAACTCAAATGCATTCTACAAGGTCCAAAGAAAGTAAAATCAGTTCAATTAATGTTACACAATGAAATCTTAGGAAAGTTAAGAGGGCATACCAAAAATAGAGTATAATGTAGCAGCAGCAAGACAAATCTAGGTTTCCTGAACCAGAAGAAATCATCGTTTACTCGCACAAGTGGTGTTCCAACGATCACACTGTTCTGCTCTTTAATTTGAAGAGCCATTTTCGCAACGACATACTCAAGTTTGGCTCCTAGAACCAGAACGGCCTAAAAAGAAAAGCCAATTATTGTATTTGAACCACATAAGAACTTCAGTACTGCATACATATATACAACGAATGCACTTACCAAGAGTGGAACATAGGATAGCCAGAGATATACATGCCAACCTGGTAAGAGTTCAAACAAATGCCATGAGAATAACACTTCTCAATAATCTCAATCACAACACAAACTAATTACAATTAAGGTTCAATTACACATTGGAGCACTCTAGTTTGCGGCCAGGACAATATGGTCCATGTCATTTAAAAATTAACAAAAACAACATAGGTTATGAATCCTCTTAGCCACTCATTCAGTCTAACCATCAAGTTAACTTTTTTTTTTTTTTTTTTTTTTAATTTTTTTAACGTAGCACTCAGTTGACGGCCTTTGTTGTTTGCATACATAGATGCTTGACTGATAACATGGGAATTAATAATTAAGAACGTTCTCAAAAGAAAGCCTCAGCGGTCTTGATATGGGAAGATAAAGAATTCTTACCATACACATCGACGAGCATAAAAATGGCTACCACAAACCACATTAAAGGGCTGATTGCAACCATGATCTTGAAATCTTCCTCCAACGATCGCTGTATGTATTTTTGGAAATCGAAGCTTTGCCTGCTTGGCAAATGAGCCTGCAGAAAGTTGATCATTAGCAGCAAACTCAATTGATTCCATCAAAACAGTTAGAAAGTTGGACTTGATCTTCATTAAGTTACCGCAATGAAGCCGTGTCGGATGGTGATGTAGTCAACTTTTGCCACTGAATTATAAAATTGCCTGAAAAAACATCTCTGCTCCATATTCACAATTATAATCCAAAACCAAAAGAATTAGAAGTGAACTTATTCTCTGCTGTGTTGTTATCCATATAAGATTAAACAAGTAAAAGCACTCACCATCCACAGATGAAATGATGTTTCCGAACTAGAATTCATGTGCCTTCTTCCAAATGTTGTTTGCCTGGTAAATCTGAACCGGTTGGGATCTGCATGCATGCTAACATCTCAGCAAGAAGCAATGCAAATGTGAAAATGAAAATATAGGCCGATGAAACTATAAAATATTCAATTTGGAGAGCATGCAGATGACTAAACGAGAAGTAACAGTGCTTCGGCAACTGTAAACCTTATAAACCCTTCAACCCTAAACCCTAAACCCAACCGAAAAATAAAGCTCGGTTCGTTTGTTACCTTCTTTTACTAGTGGTAAATCCCACGGGATTAAACAGTGAAACGCAAAACATAAATTGGTTTCACTGCATATGGTCTAGATTGGCTGCATAGTTTGTTGGGATATTTTCAGTCATAGTCTGACTTTTATGATTGAAAACATGCATGAAAGAGAAAATTTTCACTTCCAACGTCTTCGAAAGCTCAGGAAGGTCAAATTAATGTATTTTTCGGAACCAGAATAACTTTCCAATTACAGGTGGCTCAGCAAAAGAAAAAGTTCAAAAAAAATAAAAAAATAAAAAATCACATCATCCAAAAAATAAAGTAAGTAACAAATTTGAGATATTTTTAGGGGATTTAAATATAAACATAGCAGCCTTTTGAAGGCATCATTTTTTAGGAGACTCATTATCTGTCCTCCCATTTCTTATGTTTTTACGTGTTTATGTAGTCACGGTTAAGTCATATTAATATTTTTTATTATTATTATTTTTTATCTTATGATCTCTATAAAAAACAAGATAAAATGTTGATATTATTTAACCGTGATCATACAAAACAAGAAAGTAGAAGAGTGAGAGGACAGAGAATCTGTCTCCCATTTTTCAGGGTCAGTCAGCTCAACTACCAGAAAAAGGAAACCAGGAATACATATAAAAATCAATAAAAAGCATGTTTAGAATCTATGATCAAAATGCCTTTTTCTCTTTATGGTCATGAAATTATGGTCATGGACAGTTGTTTGATAAACTATAATTAATGTGTCTTTTGATGTACTGAACTCGATTTTCTTAGGAAACTTTTTCCAATCAAACCATGCATATTTAGTAATTGGATTACTACAGTTATATCTCTGATAAAAACAAGACATGCTATTCTCAGGATTAAATCTTCTGCACCTAAAATGAATGTGATCTCTCTGGTCTCAATAAGTGTTTGACACATATTCATTATCTTAACTTTTCTTAATTTTGTTGTCATAAAATTTATTATGTGTCAGACATTTATTGGGGCCACAGAGAGGTCACACCCACTTTAGGTGCAGAAGATTTGATCTCGCTATTCTCATTTCAACTTGAAATACCGCATTATTAATCACCTTAACTATCTGCGTTACTAATTAATATCTTAGAATAAGACGTACCATTCTCAACTTGGTACTCCACTGTTCGAGTTTCTTGCTCCCAAGCTTCCCAGCGCCTCATCTATACAAGAAAATAAAAGTATTTAGGTTAATTTGTATGCCTAATCATAATTTAATGGCATTGATAAAGCTGAGAACAATCTTGAAACGAACATATACCTTGGCCCTCCCGAGAGCCATGGTAAGAACACTGTACACAATATGCATAACTGCGAGCACAAAAATAAGTATGTGAAGCTGACGAAGAGCATCTGTCGTCATGAAATGTACTTTTCCCTGCAAAATTTCGTCCAAATTAGTAACAAAGCACCCAAATTAACCGAACTACAGGATCAGAACTATTAATGCATTACCTCACTGCAAGAATCTGCAGCAGTTGCATCCCCCTCCTCTGCAAGTCGCCTATGCACTGATATTTGCCTTAGTATTTCATCATGCAAACTGTTTGAGCCGGTCGAAGTCAAAATCTTATTCACAATCACAAATTTCTCGACGTCGTCTGTTTTTTCGGTTGTTTCCTTTCTGCGACATGGAAGCATGATGTTTCCGAGCTTGGCAGGTATGCAGATTTTAGATATCGAATCTTGGGTTACTGCTAATAAAAGTGACACAAATCCCATAAGCATCAACTCTGCACAACAACAAATAAACCAACTAAACTTTAAGCTGTTAAGCCAATACAATTAAAATCAAATAGTTAAAGAATAATTCATTTGGTTTGACTATTGCACCTGATTTGAGCTTCTCAACCGCGTCTGTCAAGGCTGTTTTTCTACGTCTCTTGAGAAACTGCAACAAATTAGATGTGTCTTAACGTCAAAACTCATAATAAATGTTTTTGAGACATGTCAAATTGTGAATTCGAAATAAGAAAGAAAAACTTACGTTGACAAGGAGATGAATGGAGTGCTCAATGACGAGGGAGGTGAAGATGAAGAAGAAGCAAACGGTGGCGAGTGCCCATGTCGGAGTGTATTCCAGAGAGGCGCCTTTGGAATCACCTGCCATGACGGTCTCAAATCTCTTTTCTTTTTCTTTTTGGTCTTCTATGAGATATTTGTTCTTGTTCTATCCTAATTTCTTCAATAATTTATGGCAGACAATTTCCAGATGAGCGTGACATGAAGAACTCAGACTTTTGGCAACGAAGTTTTGAGAATTGGAAATCGTTCTCTCCCGTTCACACTACGATTCATTTCCCAAAACATGTTATGCAAATTGCACCTATATATGTAATTAAATATGAAACACTGATTATAAAGAAAAGTCTACACAATTAGGCTTGACATCAACCGTCAATAATGTAATGGGAGAGGGAAATTTCAAAGAATTTGATCAACTTGATAAATTGTATACTGCAATTTCCATCAACGCATTAATGAGTTTTTGATGTTCCACCTTTTTTTTTTTTTTTTTTTTTTTATCATTTGACTTTATGAACAATAATTTTTTATCATCGTATTACATAATTATTTTTTAAATAAAAAGTGCGACACCTATAAAAACTTTTCAAACTTCTTAACATATCTATTTTCTATTGGGCATTCTACAATAAAGTTACAAATTCGAAATGTACAAAGTGCATCTTCCAAAGATGATAATATGAGTTTTACGAAATCTCTTCTCCCTTTTTTTTTTTTTTTTTTTTTTTTTTTTTTTTTTTTTTGTCTTTGATTCGTGGAACCCACCTTCTAATATGTAAAAAAAAAAAAAAAAAAAAAAAAATACAAATACATTTTTATTTTCATCTTTTAACGAAGATAAATAATTTACATTTTCCTATTGTAAAGCTATTCGTCCAAAAAAAAAATATTTTCATCTCCGGAAGTGTTCTTATAAATAAGGAAAATAAAAGGGCATATTCATGAGTTTCTTTTTATAGTACGAAAACAAGTAAAGAGTCAACATGCATTTGTGAAAAGAACAACAACATGCATTTGTGAAAAGAACAAGATTATTCATTCTCCATGGCGAGAAAAACTTGTGTGGGGCTTGGCTTGTCATTGGATTTCGTTGAATGGTACTACAATCCACTCAAAACTCGCCACGTGGCAAGTCTTAAATATATTCTTTTATCATTCTTTTATATTTAAAATTTTTATAATTATTTTTATAAGTAATTAATATATTATATATATTAATGTTATGTTTCCTTTTTTATTTCTTTCCCCCTATATTTTTTCTTCCCAAATCCACCCCACACCGCCCCCCCCCAGGCAACTTTGTTTTGCCGTAGATCTTAGGTTTCAGTGCTCTCACCCCTTTCTTTCTTTCCCAGTTTCGTTTCTTTCTTTCTTTTTAAAAAAAAAAAAAAAAAAAAAGGTTCTACACCCACTCCAATTTTATCATGGAAAGCAACTAAGAATTTGTAAGTTTTTTTTCTTTCTTTATACAATAGTTGCTTTGATCATGTGACATGAATAACCCACATATATAGATGTAGTAGGGTTATTTTCTTTTCTTTTAATTGGGGGTTTTTGGGTTCGGATGAGATTTTTTGGATTTTTTATATTTATAATATGAATTAGGGTATCTTCTATGTTTGCTACCTTCTTTATTATGAGTCTTTAATTAATATATTAGTCTAATCTTTGATATTTTTTTTTTCAATTGATAGGTTGCTGCTGAGGCAATGGAGTTTGAAGAAGATCTGAAAATCAGAATGGTGGTGCATTCAGACGTTGAAGCTTACAGATACTTGGTTGCTTTCCATGATAAACTTGGAGTGGGTGCATAACTTTATTTTATTTTATTTAAAGAAAGAAAGAAATGAAATTGGGAAAGAAAGAAAGGGGAGGGAGTCCTATGACCTACGGCAAAACAAAGTGTGGGGGGGGGGATTTGGGAAGAAAAAAAATAAGGGGAAAGAAATAAAAAAGGAAACATAACATTAATATATATAATATATTCATTAGTTAAAAAAATAATTATAAAAATTTTAAATATAAAAGAATGATAAAAGAATATATTTAAGACTTGCCACGTGGGGGAGGGGGATTTGGGAAGAAAAAAAATAGGGGGAAAGAAATAAAAAAGGAAACATAACATTAATATATATATATATATATATAATATATTAATTAGTTAAAAAATAATTATAAAAATTTTAAATATGAAAGAATGATAAAAGAATATATTTAAGACTTGCCACGTGGCAAGTTTTAAGTGAATTGTAGTGTCATTCAGCGAAGTCTAGTGGCAAGCCAAGCCCCATACAAGTTTTTCTCCTCGATGGCAAAATAATTTATCTACCCTAACAAGTAGCTTAGTTGTTCCGATTGATCATGCTTTATTGTAATTTTTTAAACCTAGTTTGTAAAGACTCTTTTAAAGCTAAATTCCTTATGAATATGTATTTATAATCCTCTTGATTTAATAAATAAAAAATGTTGTACTTCTTAAACTAAGTAACCAAAATAGATAATTTGACGTTAACCCAAAGCTCCAACGTATTTGAGGGGAAGCCCAACTATTTGAAAATTTTGTCAAATTATAGATTTGTTAGATTAGTTGTTAGATTAGGAAGCCGATGGGATTCGAACCCAGGACCATAGTGCAAGGACAACCTACCTTGTAACCTACCTTGTGAAATTATTCTGATGAAGATGATCGTGCTTATGACAATCTTGAAGTGCAGGATGCCCTCAAAATCGCTTATGACCCAACCAACACATCCTTTCTTAGTTTTTGAATACCACGCTGCATCATAATTAACCTTAAGCACACTAAAGCTTGGTTTGTTCCGGCCACTGCCATCCACAGATAATTTTTCCTTGCTGGCAGGCATCATAACAGTAAGCAGGCCATTATTGGCCTGCGATTCCAGTCTTATTGCTTCCATAAACTCTTTAATCCTTGTTTTCCATATTTGCATAGCCTCAATGGAATCCCATTTAATCCCTCTAAACATCAAATCGTTTCTGCACTTCCAGATCCTCCACAGGCCAAAGACGACTCCTTTCAGCTATAATCTCACTTCTTCTCTCATGTTTTTGAAATCATTAGCATAAATGATTCCAGCAAGAATAAAATTTCCTACCTTCAAGATTGGCAAAGTTTAGTTGAAGGTCGCAGTAGAGCCAGAAAGCACACTGAATTCGCAATGGAATAGGATATGCTCCACCGTCTCATTCGCTCTTTCACAGAACGCACAGAGGCTACACACCTTCATTCGTCATTTTCCAAATTACTCATCACCGCTATGGTATTGTTGCAACACTTCCAAAATATATTTTCATTTTGTTTGGAACCGACAAATGCCATATTTTCTTCCACGTATAGCAGTTGGTTTGGCAGGTACTGCTGACACCCGTTCCTTTTTTATGAAGTACACCATTTTTTAAAAGATCCATTGCCAGCCCGTATCCTGTTTTGACACTATAAACATCGTTCTTTGTATAGTGCCAAATCAGCCGATCTTCACATCCCTCATAGCTAATTGGAATGGAACGGATTAACTCCATTTCATCCACATCGAACCATTGTTCCAGGAGCTCCATCCTTCACCTTCGAGTATCCCAATCAATTAGGTTACAGACCGTTGGTGGTACATTAGTGTTGAAGGATTGTAACTTAAATGTGCTGGGCAATGGAATCCATGGGTCCAAACATGTTCGAATCTTTTTACCATTTCCTACTTGTCATCGTAAACCTTTCTCGATTATCCATCTCCCTTCCAATATTCCTTTCCACACCACGATGTTCTTATACCACTTTCGACTCCAAGAAAGAGCTCTTTGGATAGTAGTTCCTCATTAGGACCTTAGAAAATAACATTTCTGGATTGTGAATAAGCCGCCAACTCAGCTTTGCCATCATCGCCAAATTAAAACATTGCAGATCCTGGAACCCTAAACAACACGACATCTCCTTTAGTAGCATGACAAAACAACACGCCATCATCCACGAAGAATAAATGTGAAATCATAAGACCATTATTGGGATCTTAAACCATGAAAAAGACTCGAGTCCTCACTTTTTTTTAACAATGCTGAGAACCCTTCCGTACAAATGAGAAAGAGGAAGGGCAATAGTGGATCACCTTGTCGTAACCCTCTGCTTGGTTTGATGAATCCAATAGGATTGCCGTTGATTAGTACACTATAAGAGATGGATAAGATACATTCTTCAATTCTGGCGCAAAACTCTCTTACAAAACCAAGGTTCTCCATCATGCTCGTTAAGAACTTCCATTCCACATCATCATATGCCTTCGTCGTGTCAAGCTTGATGGCCATGTCTCGTATTTTGTCATCACTTCGGCACTTCAAAGAATGTAGGATTTCATGGACCACCAATATGTTGTCATGGATTTGTCTTCCAGCAATAAAGGCGGATTAGTTTTCACTGATCGCCGTTGGCATTACTCCTTATAAAATGTTCGTGATAATCTTAGCAATAACCTTGTAGGGAACATTACACAATGAAATCAGTTTATACTGTTGAACTTGCCTCGGGCTTTTTATTTTTGGAATGAGAGTCATAAGGGTATGATTCATCTTCCTCAACATCTTTCCTAAATGCCAAAATGCCCGCACTACTTTAATTAAATCATCTCGGATGACATCCCAGTGGTCCTGGAAAAAGCCACCAGTAAATCCTTTTGGACCAGGGGATTTCGAGGTTGGGATTTGAAATACAACTTGTTCAATCTGATCTTCAGAATTCGGCTTCAGTAATTCCAGGTTGTCCTCACTTGTTAATCTCGTAGGAACATAGTCCAGAACCTTCTGGACTCTGCGTGGTTGGGCAGAAGCATATAGAGCTCCAAAGTATTGGACCACGATCTGGCCGATCCTACCCTCCTCCTCTTGCCAATTTTCGTGGGTGTGTGTGTTCCAAACCTTGGATGCAGTTCATCCTTCTTTGGTTCAAAGTTTGCGCATGAAAAAACTTAGTATTCTTATCATCCTCTTTCAGCCACTGTGCCCATGATAAAAACTTATTGCATTTGATTGTTGTTGTTCAATACACAAGCTTCACTACCAAATAGGAAAAGGAAAATGTACATTTACACACGGACAAAGTAAAAAAATTATTCTTGTCATGGCAGCTTTATATTTTAATGCCCATATTTATTTTCCTATTAATGATAACACTAA